TTAACACGCATAATGGCTGTATTCTGTGAGGCCACAGATTTATAGAACCATGTCCCTGTTAATCTATTTTGCAGTTAAAAATTTGTTGAGAGCACAGGGGAGTCCAGAAGACATTTTGAGCACTAACCCACTGACTCCATACACTGACACAAAGTTTGTGGGATACTTTATTATCATAAACACACACATGCTTAAGCTTATGTCCCCAACTATGCATTAACACTATCTTTTCTATTCCAAAGCTGCCACATATCCTAAGATTTTCAGAGGTGAGTATGAATTTCCAAACGTAATTGAATATGTACAGGCAAAAAAAAAAGGGGGAGGGAGATCAAAAATATGTGCAGATAGTATTGGGAGTGGTATCATCCTGTGATTAACAATAAGGATAATATGCAAGCACCAAAACCATAGAATCATAAAGACAAATAAGTATTTACAAAGCCATGAAATAGAACCACATGGGAGAATAACGATCTGGAAACTTGATGGGATATTTTGTTTAGAGTCTTAAGTTTAATTAAAATCATCCAGAGTTTGGAGGAGTTTCTGTCAAAGGATAAAATTAAAAAAAATAAACAAACAAAACCACGGTACAAGAACACCACGGCTGTAAAGTCACTCACTCAAACATTCAAAGGACCTGTACTAAAGTGCCTATGTTACCCTTACTGCGTTAGCTCCTTTGGTATAACTCTGTATGCAAACAGCAGCATACAATATGGAATAGCATAGGAAGGTTGTAAATCACAGGCAGATAGCAAATACTTGGGCCAAGAACGTTTCCAAGATTTTTTTGTTTGTTTTTACAGCAGGACACAGTGGGGACCTGAACCTGCCCCGCACTACTGTCGCTGCGTAGCGTCTTGAGGAACAGGCGTCTCCCAGTCCCATCCCATTCGCTGCGGAAGATTCCACACTAAAAATTAGGAAAATTAACATAAGCCCCCTTCTAACATGTTATTCCTTGAAGCGTAAGCTATGGGGAGGAAGACAGTCAGAGACCAGTTAGGCAACCTGCGTTGCTACAGAAGACAGAGGATGTGCCGAGGGTGCACAGTGACCACACAACGATGCAGATGGGCCTGGAGTATGTTGCACACGACGAACCTGAAGGAACGGCGGTTATCTGGTCTGAAGAAGACAGATATTACTACCTTCAACTACCTCCTTGGAGGGTATAGAAAAGACAAAGCCAGGCTTGTCAGAGGCGTGCAGTAAGGATCAGTGTCAGAAAATGAAAAATTAAATTAGATTATAGGTAAAGTTTTGCTTGCTGGGGTTTTTGTTTGTTTTTTTTTTAAATCGTGAGGGTGTTAAAATGCTGGAGAAGGTGACCAGAGAGATTGTAGGATCTTCATCCTTGAAGATATTCAAAACTCAACTGGACAAGGTCTGGAACAACCTGATCTAATTGCACCTGCTACAGAGCAGAGGACTGATCATCTCAAGACTTCCCTTCCAACACTAGTTTGCATGATTCTGATGTTATGATGCTACAAGATACTGTGAGCATGCCTTCTACTCACTCACTGCACAACAGTCATTGATTAGATCTACCAGGAATTAAAACTGTTTGGAACAGACAAGTGGCTGCTCTCACCAGCTTCTCCTACTCTTCCTCCCAAATGCCACAAGATCACAAAATCTCACCAAAGCACTTTATGAGCTGTGGGATTCTGATCAGCATAAAGCTGAAAAGTCCTGCTCTTCTATGGATCTTCTGCAGACTTGGGCAGTCTGGTGACTCTTCTTAGCTCATGTTCTCATTACCATGAGTAGCTGAAGAAAGAACTGCATACCATCCCAAGATAGCCTTAAAACTCCTCACCATTTTTTCATCACATGTTAAGAGCAGACTCAACATAATTGTACAAGTAGCTTAGATGATGGCATCTCTTGTGCTGGGAGAAGAGACTAAGGGCAGGTGTTTATGGCTTAGGAGTTTACAGGAAACTAGAGAGAGAGAGATGAACTGAATGTGTTTTTGTCGTTGAAAGCTGGCGACATATTGTGGAAGATCTGTAAGTGCACCCAGTTAAAAGTCTCATTTCCCAAATCTAAAATAATTCTTGAAGACAGCCTTGTAGATTGCAGTGCTTATCATGACTGGATACCAAAGGAAGCACCAGGAGGACCAAAAAAATCCTGACCTTGTAATAACTGATCACCACAAATTCTGCTTGCATTACTACTTCTGGACCTTGGATTAGTGGGTTTTTGACTGCTGTTCAGAACCTTCTGGGCTCGTAAGTTATTTTTGAAGGATCTAAGTGGCAGGAAATTATGAAAAGCAATTTTATTAGCAGTTTGCTACACTAAAAAAAATTTCAAAGGACCTAAAGTTTAAAAACCGCTCCCTTTGACAAGGGAAGTAGTTGCTTCATCTTTTTAATGAGAAGTTAGCGAATTCCACTTTCCAGATTTTTATGTACTCCCACAGTAACACACTATTTACATTGAAAATCCCACTTCTGAAGTTTGTGCTGGTTCTGAAGAGCTGGTTTTCAAAAAAACTAAGCTGAGTTTCTTTCACATTTGAGGTTTTCCAGGAATTATGTTAATATCCTGGACTATACATTCTTTAAAACAAGGTCCCTGACTGTATCTGACAAGTGCCTAGCACAGCAAGACAAAGTTGCTAACATTACAGAATTTGAGCATATTGTATCACATCCTGCTTGAAATTTAAATGCTAGCATATGACTCAATCACAGTAACATCCGATAATAGCTAAGTACAAAAAAATGAAGCCTTGTTCACTAAGTCCAGGAAAACACAACAGTGGGAAAAAGGCTTGTTGCCCTTCCTCACATTATCTGCCCTTCCCGGAGCAGACTGGTTCACTGAACAGAACAAAAGTACGTACCAGAAGAGTTATGAAGTTATTTGATTTCAGAGGTGCAGAAAAGATCACCGGAAGACACTGAGACACAGGTAGGCACCATTAATTTTTGCTGTGATTGTGAAACAAAGGTAGCAGAATGCCTAGCCCAAATAAGATTAGAATCTCTTTAGCTAGAAATGCCGCTAAAGAGCGTGTAGGAGTTGACTGAAAGCAAGGCACACTTCTGTTTCAACCCAGTCCTCCGCAGCTGATCAAGCCAGTGCTTAAAACACCAACCCTCCTTAGAAATAAAAAGGGCACGAGGTGGACAAGTCTGACTCCAAACAGCTACAGTCACAGCTACCGCGGGAAGATTTAGTAACTACGTAAGCGTATTAGCGGACTACATTTAACTTTTACTCTTTAGATTCTGACAACTTGCAGCCTCCTTCCGTAGTCACAAAAACAAATAGTGAGGAAGGCAGCGTGGCACCAACGCAGGGCGAAGCTACAGGCTTCAGGTTCAGGTTACCACACGGAGTCTCAGTTAATACCACACAGCAGCTTTACTGGGGCCCTGGGGTGGGCCCTTAATAAAGGAAGAGCCTTTTCCCTTCTTCTTTCATGTTTTTAATGTTAATGGCAAACTTCTTTGCCTTTTACAAGTACAGTGTACGTGGTACCACTGGTGTCTCTAAGTGACTTTTCGCTCTTTACGCCTAAGCACGTGGATTTATACATTTGCTGATTTTTAAATTTCAGTTAGAGTCAGTAATAAGCTTTTTAGTTTTTACAGGACAATAAAATTGCTTGCCAGAGGTTTCTGACTCAAAATTCTACACGGCAGATTGACGTAGGCCTCTTGATCCTTCTTACCACATTTTTGCCAAGTTAGAGTATAAAATATCTGTTCTGCTAATTGCACCCAGGGATTTGCATCCAATATCCAGCTAGATTCCTAAAGCTGACTCTGTTTTCCCTTTGATCTTGCGTATTCTGTTGCTTGAAAGAATACAGACAGGTGATGGAAAATGCTGGAGCTATTGCAAGTACAACTGCTCCAAGACCAATTAACTCCAAAAACCCAAAATGAACAAGAAGCCAAAATGGAACTAAACCCACAACAGCTGGTGGTCATCAAGGCAGTTTTCCCAGAGGGTGGAAGACTGTTACTAATACGATGGAAATACAAAATTTACTGAGACCAACTGTTAACTGCTGATAACATATATGGAGAAGTGCCTCATTTCTCACAGTTTCTGCTGAGCAAAAGTAAAGCTGGACAGCAATCTTAACTTTTATGGGGGGCGGCGGGGGGAGAGAAAGCGGGAACTGAAACATAGTCCCACAGAACAATTAGTACCAGGACCTGCTTTTACTATAAACCTACTTTTATCACATTTAAAAATAACATTCAAGTGATTCTACCCATAGAAATACATTACTTCTCGGAGTTTAATCAATGTAGTATAGTTCATTAGGAACTGCCCACCAAGATTCTCTTGCATTTTAAATTATTTCAATTACTGCAGAACATGGATGCTAGAACCCCCAACAGAAGAGTAAAGTTGTATGTTCTCCCTTTACAACAGTAGAGGTTTTGAGATGTTTCAATCACATTACATAAACTTACATTCCTCTACTAACACAAAACATACACTCTTGCCACAGGAGACATGCTTCTTATGCTCTTTCCAGCCAATGATTTTAACTTCAAATCCAGAGTAAACATAACCTCTTCAGGGCTGGGAACATGTTTGTGTGCAAGGAGAACAGCCCACTGCCATACAGCGATAACACCACCTATTAAAATTGTGGCACATACTGAACAGGCACATGCACAAAGGGCCATTACGTTCTTTGACACAGTACTGATGGTCAGTTTCAAAAGTCTGGAGACACTGAAAAGTCAGGACTTTCTTTACGTTATCAGTGAATAATACATACTGAGAGGTAGAAAAGCTTTTTTATTCAGTGAGTATTCATTTGCAGCTCATTCATAAAAGTCAAGAATTGAAGCACTCCAAGAACCAAGAACTGTTCAAAAACACAAGCATAAGTTATCAGGCATTTATTTATTATTTACTATCTGATTTATAATACAGATGAAGCAACAGTGCTAAATAGAACAATTTATCATTCTGCCTGGGCATTTGTTTTAAATGTGGTTCTTTCAGTGCCTTGGTGATGGTCTTCCAGAAGACGGCTGAGGCTGCCTGAATTTTGAGAGAACCGCAACAGAATCAACAAAGGTATAAATGTTATATTCATGATGCTGAAGGTTCTTGTAGGTAGAATTATCGAAATCTTCTGGAGCAGGCTCAGCAGCTGCTGTGGTCTCTGTGAAAAAAAACAGTAACTGGTGACTATAAGGATGTCACACCAGAGGGCAATATTCTTAATTACTGAGCCAGCCTTCATACACTGTCAGATACCTCATCCGGTCAACATTAAAAAAAAAAAAAAAAAAAAAAGTCAGCAACTATAACAAAAGGGTAAGTTTACTAAGTTCTGCTGGTACCTTGTCTGGTCCTAAAGCAGCACATTCGTATGTAGTTGGGGAACAGGAATCAGTATAAATTAGCTAATATGGTGCAGGTTTTAAAATCCAAACTACCACCTAATGCTGGGGATGGATAGGGCAGAACATTTAATTTACATTTTGCAGACATATGTCTGCATTTCCTGGCTTTTTCATAGTTGCCTTGGTTTTCACTCCAGCCAGAACAGTAGGTGACATTCTTAGCAAGTCAGGAGAGGCAAAGCAGCAGTACAAATGATGTATCATGTCAGACCATGCGATACAGCTATTAGAACTACTTTACAGATTGGGGAGAAGTGATGGAATTATTGAGATCTCCACAGTTTAATTTCAAATGTGGTTATACTGAACAGTAATGTATCAAGAGTCCTTGATGTAAATTTCCTTTCTTCTAAATATAATCTTCTAGACTTTGTATCAGCTCTTCTTCCTAAAAGAATAACCTAATAAAAGTTATTCAGAACTCCTTGCTTCATGTTAAAGCCAACATTAATTCTTACACTTTTTAAATATTATGCAAATTTAGGCAGTACCATTTACACAAAAATTCCTGTTACAGGTTGATTTTACAACCACAGAAATTGCAAGAAATAAAACTTCACTTCCAGTATTAATTTATTCTCATATACCCCGAGTTTTAACAATAGGAAAGACATAAGCATAATCTAGTGAAAAGCTTCGTCAAATAGATTTGTATGTAGTGGTTTAGGTTAGACAGTATTACGCTTTGTTTTGTAATACAACTGTCTACAATAAAAATACAAGAACTCAAGCAACTGAACACCAGAATTTCCCTTTAATTATGACATAATTATTGCAATGTAATACTATCAGTTGAAGAGCATGTAACTGTAACATTTAGCAAGACTTGCTTATAAAACTCCATGTATTAAGCCATGGTTTCTGCAAAACAACACACACAATCTATGAAAGGAAATATCCCTGTGCCTACTGCTCAATTCCTACTGAGACGGCTCATAGCAGACATTACAGATATAAAAGCCAGATGATATGGTCTTTGCTGCAAATAGCCCCAAGAACAGGGAAGCATAGGCAAGTGTACATTCAACCTGCAAGAGACAGTTGTTCCAAATTAAAAGACAGATGCTCAGGAAGAAAAGCAGATGGAGTCTCATTTTTCCTGCCCAAATACACTGTATTTGGCTTCTCAAAGGAAAAATTTATCCCCGAGTTCATCCTCCCCATACTTCAGACTTCATCTACGCTTTTTCTCTTAAAGAGCAAGCATTTCACAGGATATTCTTCCAAAATGAATCAGAGGTATATTTCTGAGTTACCATGCTAGTATTTTGCTACTTACTTAGCAGTTAAAGTCAGCAATTTTTGCTGACTGCTTAGCACGCCTGCTCTACAACGTGGATGACATCACCTTAACATCCAGGTTTGTAATGGGAAGAATTGCTTTTACACCTTCAGTATGCCTGCTGCAGTTTGCAGATGAACAAAAGAACACAGGAACAGGACAGAACAGATTACAGAAGATATAATTTACTGTGAACGTTAAACATGGAAAAACAGTAGTTGTTCTCAAAGGAAGCCTCAAAAGGAAGAGAGAACAAGAGGTGCCTGGAGATACCAGTGATGCTGTTGACCACGGTGTAGCTAGGTTTGACTCTCTGTTACCCTCTGGCACCCAAAGACATCACAGCAGCAGCAAAGCGGTGTGAACTTGCTGTACTAACCCCCACCTCTCTTACAGCCACTGCAGCAGAGTCCTCTAGCACGTACCCAACAGAAACCTTCCTGTTGTCACAGCCTCCAATGAGCAAGAGGAACTCAACACCAAAAGTGCTGTTTTCAGCAAATCCAGATCCTACCCAAAAGGGGTTTGCTGGTGTGGCTATGATGATGACGGGTCTGAGGCACAGTGGTACTACTGCCCCATCGATACAGATCTGCAGGAAAAGTTTGTAACATGGGCTTAACCTTATTCTGAGTTTACAGCATCAGAGTAGAGGAGGCTGTTTCATAAATCTTCAATGTGTCATAATCTTCACCTTGAATCATTTAGCACATTTTAAGACTAAGTCCTCCCTCTTATACTCAAAGTTACCTCATTTTTTGGGTCTTCACATCAGCTTCAATGTGGGAAAAAAAATAATGCTTGAGCATCTAGAACTCCACCGTGGAACAACAGGGAGAAAAAGCATCATCTGTAGATAAGTACAAATAGACTTTCCCAATTTTTATTTTTTGTTAAAGAAAGCTTCTGCCGCTGACTGCAAGGAGGAACAAGTAAATGAAAATGTCACTTGCAAACAGTGCTGCATTTTACCATTTGAGCTGCAGTCAGGGAAGAAGGTAAGCTTAGCTGCCAACTCTTAAAACAGATTGAATTATGAGCCGACTAACCCTTTAAAACAGAAGGCAGGTCTTTTACTCAGCACTGTATCCTGACCACCAAGGTACAAAAGCAATTATTTGTCACTCACCTTGGTTAAGACACTTCACAGAATCACAGAATGACTGAGGTTGGAAGACACCTCTGAAGCTCGTATGGTCCAACCCCTCTGCTCAAGCAGGGCCACCTACAGCCAATTGCCCAGGACCATATCCAGGCAGCTTTTGAATGTCTCCAAGAACGGAGACTCCACCACCTCTCAGGGCAACCTGTGCCAATGCTCACAGTAAAAAAAAAAAAAAAAAAAGCGTTTCTTGATGCTCAGGCAAAACCCTGTGTTTCAGGTTGTACCGACTGCCTCTTGTCCTGTCGCTGGGTACTACTGAAAAGAGTCTTAATTCTGTTGTCTTTTTACTCTCCCTTCAAGTATTTACATACATTGATGATATCCTCCCTGAGCCTTCCCTTCTCCCAGCTCCTCAGCCTTTCCTCACAGGAGAGATGCTCCAGTCCCTTCATCATCTTAGTGGCACTTCGCTGGACTCTCCCAGTAGCTCCACACCTCTCTTGTACTGGGGAGCCCAGAACTGAACACAGCACTCGAGATGCCTCTCACCAGGGAAGGAAGGATCACCTCCCTCAGCCTGCTCCCAACATGCCTGCGAAAGCGGCCCAGGTGACCACTGGTGGTCTTTGCTGCAAGGTCACATTGCTGGCTCATGTTCAACTTGCTGTCAACCTGGACCCCCATGGCCTTTTTTTGCAAGGATATAACTTGAAGGATGATATCCAAGCAGCTTTACAATTATGCTGCTTTTACTTCCAAGTAGGTAAATAATTCAAAGCAGCAACCAAAGGGGTGAGGGGATGTCTTAAGAATGGTATGCTGCCTAAACTGAACGGCAAGAAAGGCAAGCCACCACAGAGGACAGAGAGGCATTTGGTATTGAAAAAACACAGAATGAGATCAGTAGTTAACAGGACTGGTACTAAATAAGAAGGGTAAGTTAGAGAGGGAAGTAGAGCTAAGGAGATGATTATATGATGCACGATGCTTTCCTAAAACTTATCACTGTCTCCTCCTCAACTCGCTACAAAAACTGGGCTGTAAGGTCAACTCTGTGCACTTCAACATGACTTGCTTACAACCTACAATCTCAGAATCAAGACCTGTTTCTGGCATTACACTGATTTCTTGAAGTCTACTGAAATCTGAAACACTGCAAGGTTTTTAAAGAAAAAAAGAAAGAGAAAGACAGCAGGATTTAAGCAAAAATCAGAGGGCATCAAACTTGGCTCAGGAGAAAGGCGGCTACCAAATCCTTCCGAAAAAAGAAAAGAGGGAAAACAAGTTTTGTCATATAAAACTCATGATTTTGCTCACAGTGGAAACAAGCTTGTTTTCATTTTATAACTGGTTTATGAAACTATAAATACAGTGAAACGAAGACCACTTCCTTTCACAGCATAACTGGAAACTGAGTATTACTGAGCACTTATAACAATTAGCAATGAATAAGAATTTATCTTCCAGAAAGTCACCGCTACACAGTTAACTTCAGTATAAAGATCAGAGAATCACGAACAGAGAAGAATTGGAAAACCTTTAAAAAAAGTTAAACCCTAGCCCAGCTGAATCAATACAGTTCAAACAATTTAAAGTTGTACCCTCTATTGTGATTCTTTCTCCAGCCTGGACTCCTGCTTCCTGAATGGTCTCCTCCTTTGCTGTGGTGCCCATCACCAACCTTGTGCTTTCAAAAGTCCGTTCTTCTAGTTTAGGAGTAGTTACTTCTTCTGCTTCTGACTCCTGTGCCTCCACCTTTTTTTCTTCTCCTCTGGATACCAGTTTTTGCTTTTTGTCTTCCTGAGTCACTGATGAAGCTTTCAGATGAATAGCTGCTACTTGGGTTCCAATGGACTTTTCCTCCAAATGATCAGATTTATGAGCAACATCAGTCAGGCTTTCAACCATGTGTTGTTCTAAGACCAGCTTCTGCTGACCTGCTTCTTTTGGAGTTGATTTTACTTTGGGGTCTCTTGCTTTGGATTTTGATGTTTCATGGCTGACTGATGTTTTAGAAAATGAGACCTGCTTGATAGGAGACACATCAGTTTCTGTTTTGCGTGGCTGCTTCTTAGCTACATATTCTTTGTGGGATTTCTGGGACAAGTTCTCTTTTGCTAGCATTGATGCTTTTACCGCTATGTTCTCGGAAAAGATGGAATCTCGTCTAGGAAACTCAACTTTGGTTTTAATGGCAACTTCTGAATCATCATCATCATTTTCTTCCTCAGAATCTGAGCTAGAATCTGAATCTGAGCTGGATGAAGATGAATTTTCTTCCTCAGCTAACTCTTTCCTCAAGTTGCCTTCTGTTGCAGCTGTAGTGAGGTCGTCTTCCTCAAGGGAAGAAACAACTATCCGCTGAGGAAATGCGACCACAGTTTTTCTTGACATGAACATCCTCATGTCTTCAGCAGAAGGTTTTGAAGCTTCCTGGAGGTTAGTACTAGATATGCTCTCACCTTTGTTTGCAGATACTAGGAGAGAGCTAGAAGACAACATTTTAGGAAATTCAAATGGTGCTTTGATGGCTAGCAGCTTGGTGCTTTCCTGGGGTGCCACTACATCTAGGAAACGGCATAAAGAGGATTATCATCATTATATCCGACACTGGCGTTAATTAGCGATCTTGGTCATACAATTTTAACTTTCTGAGATAATCTGGTACACAGAGCAAATCGAAAGAAGTCATTATGCTAAATACAGGCATTATGACGCAGAAAGTTTTAAGACATTTTAAGTTAAAGAAACCAGAGTTCTAGTTAGCGTTTAACAGTTTTTGCTGCTGTGATGCTGAAACTCATGAGATAATGTCTTTTTGCCCCTGGCTTTGCCAGACTCCTCGCAAGAACTGTGCTTAAATTCTGCATCACTGAAAATGGTTTACAGAGACCTTCCTATCTCAGATGAACATTAAGATAGCTTGTTAGCTGAGCTCTTCAAACATGCCGCTACAGACACTATTTGTCTACAAACAAGCCAGCAAAGCAGAAGACTTAGTAAACAGACATAGCAATAGCCAGCCTCTTGCAATAGTTATCATTAAAGCAGTAGGGAGGGATGACTCCCAAGAGACAAAGTAGCTGAATAAGAGATACCTGAGGCCATACATGAAAGTATTACTCATTCACATGTCTATGCGACCTATCAACTGAACTGTGTCTAACACAGTTTAACATTACTTCCCCAAGACCTTATCTCCTCCAGTCTTCACTGCCTCCACTTCCTATTTTTAATTTGAGACCTCTTTGTAAAAACAGTCTTAGAAGATCTCCTAATGCTTCGAGTTAGCCTGCCTTTATTTCTTCTCCCTCATGGATACTTTCATTAAGCTAAATTCTTCAGACAAGGAGCCAACAGTTGAAGAGAAAGCAGCAACTTTCAGGCCCTTTCAGAAGGCATCAAATACCCCTTAGATGCTTGTGCCAATGATATCCTCAAGAGGCTGATCAACAGCAAATACCGTTGTGGTTACAGAAAACAGAAGGACAAAGAGGACTGGGAGGACATTAAGAAGATACACCACCACTGAAATTTGCTATAATGGCTTGCAACTCCATAATGGGTTCCAACCCTTCCACTTCCAACCAGCAGTGTAATTCAAATGATTTCCAGTCTATTGTGCAGATTTATCTGCACAGTTTGGAAACCCAGATCTACTTTACAAGACCATAAACTAGATGCAGTTTTCCCCCTTACTAGTATTTTACAGTAATACCTTGTATGATCCAAGGAGTTACTATAACTAGTGCTGAATAGAAGCACGGCGTAGCAATGTCCAAATGAAAACATCACAGAAGAGACAGACATATGAAATTAAAAGCAAAGTATTTAAGAAAGAAATACAGAGTTCTTAACATAAGCATGAATGAAAAAAAAATCAGTTTACTATGCAGGTAATACTTTTCAATAATTTCAGACACATACTTCTCTCTGCCAGATGGAAGGTGCAGGGCGGGAAGGGAGGGCAGGGGGAAGCAGGAGGATGGGCAGCCACCTTTGAAAGAAGCACAGACTGACACAGCCAAACAGCAGCCTGTAGAAACCAATACGTGAGGAAACATCACTCAGGATTGAAGAATTCTTCAAAGCAGTGTACAGGAAGGTCAAACTAACACAAGAAAGCCCGAAGGGATGACAGACAAGTGAAAGCTGAGCAAAAGTTGAAAGAGTGCTAAT